GAACGTTCGTTTTCGAGACTCCGAAGACCCAATTCACACCTGAGAGCTTGAACGTCCGAGAAGCACTTGCTAGGGGTTGCGCTTTTGAACATTCACCGGTACATCCAAGTCATCCCCGAAAGTGACTTCTCGCTTCTTTCTATCGACCGAAGGCGGCTTCCACTAAATGTTTAGACCCCACAAAATGATGGAAATTAGTACTTTTTTCTGCCCCTTTCTCGTAAAACGACATTGAAGAAGGGAAAGAACCCGAAGCATGACCATAGCACGATAATTTCTGAACAATGTGATCCGCGCAGGAACAATGAGCGTGACGCTTCACTTGCTCATTGCCCCAGTGCGCATTGCAGTTTTTATGTGTAATCGTGTTATACACTTCAATTTTCTCTGGAACTTTTCCGTAGTTTTTTGGTCATTGGATACCCGAGTGTTCCACAGAGACCTGTACGCACCGGAATATTTTGTGGGACTGTCTGGACTTTTTTGATCAAAGCCAATTATTATGTTTTATGATTGCGTGTTTTCGTTGTTAACCATTAAAGTTTCCCTCTTTAAATATTGAACGAACGAGATCTGACAAAAAAAAGTTGAATTTTTGTCTTCTGAGAAACAGAAAAACATTAACTAAAACTGTGTTGGTGCAATTTATTTTTATCTATCTTGTTTCTTCTTTTTTTCCATTTTGAACGGTTTCAGCAAAAAAAAAAACACCCCCTGAAAACATTTTCTGGCTACGTAGGCTACTGCCTGGAGGTTACTAGCGCTAAACCAAGAGCGTTTTACGTACCAACAAAATTCATATCCCAAAGCAAAGCATGTCACAACAATCGTCATATGACCTGACGTGTGTCGCGTGACGTCAAGGTGTTAAGTGCCGTCACGTCACGTAGCACAAAGTCACGTCACGTAAATTAATAAACAATAGGTCACTGGAAAGAGTTGAATGTCTCCTAGCCTCCTCAGACCCGAGAAAATCCCCACAAACAAAAACGTTTCTTTGGCGGCGGTTTTTATTACTCATTTCGCCACCAAAAACACGACGAAAATTTTTTTTTACTGTATGGTAAGGCAAAGTACTATAAAAAGCATGTCGACACTCGTGGACATTGGGTCTCTGTTCACGTATTCCTTCAAGCATGAAACTCGAAGAAGAAGTTCCTGCCGATCTGGTGGCATTGCTACCAAGATGAGTACTAACTCGCCCTTCGTCTTGTTCGTACAGATTTTGGGGGGCTAGGCTCGCCTTCGGCGGGAATCTCTCCGATGCGACGTCACGAGGGAGGGGAGGAGTTTCTTTTGACTCCGCCCCGGCGAGTTTCCCACTCCTCCTCTTACATTTCCGACCCCCCCGGCGGCGGCGAGTTCCCCAACGTAACTCCTATTTCTCCCTACGCTCCGCAGTGAAGGGTTTAATCTTATTTAAATCGGGGGATCGGTGGCCGGTTGGGTAGCGCACACCAGCTCGGAGCACTTCGAAGAAAAGCTCCTTTACAGAACCCAGGATCCTGGGTTCAATCCTCACCCCTGCCCGTTTCGATCTTAATGAGCATCGCACCGGCGTGCGGTCGTATATCACTACTGCGTAGTGCACGTTAAAAACCCTAGGCTAGCGGTTGTACTGCACTGGCTAAATTGCTCATCTACAGCTGGGAGAATCGTTGCCCGTTGAGGCAGACCAAGTTTTTGGCTGTATAAACATACACACAACCCAATATTTTTTATTTAAATCATAAATGACAAATAAGAATCGGAAACAGCACGGATGCTAATTATACAAATCTTGCTTGGATATGGGCTGGTTGGTTAGACATTGTGATGGTTTGCTGCGCTGCGTAGATGCAAGAAAAACGCGCTTGATAAATATATAAACTAAAGCAGAGAATAGAAAAACAACATACAGGAATGGCGCAGACTAAAAACTGTGTAATTTCTTTTTCACCTTTCTCCCCCCACAACGCCACAATAAGTTTTTCAAAATAGGGTATACGTGGAGCGAAAGCTCGCGCTGCAGAACCCAGAATCCTGGGTTCAATCCCCACCCCTGCTCCTGTCGATCTGGATGAGCATCGCACCGGCGTGCGGTCATGTATCACTACTGCGTGGGGCTAGAAGTCGTACTGCCCTGGCTAAATTGCTTATCTACAGGCAACAATGTCGCCATGTTCTGGCATGTTCTCCTGCTATACAAACAACTACCTACAAATTTGTTCGTCAAAATAGGGTGAGGAGAGAAAAAGATGAGAAAGAAATTACACAGTTGTTAGTCTCCGCCATTCATGTACATTGCTTTTCTTCTATTTTATGTTTTAGTTTAAATTTTATCAAGTGCGTTTTGCTTGCATCTACGCAGCGCAACAAACCGTCAGAATAATTATAAAAGCCTGTAGGTAATGATAAACTGCGTTCCTGGTTGCAGATTGCCGTAAAAACACATTTGACTCTAGGATTCACTTCATAGAATTCGTTTGTAGGATTCACGACGGGGACGACGGTCCATTCACGGCTCCATCGCCTCAAGCCCGGTTCGCCACGCATTTCATGGCACTGTCACCTTACCACGGCTTTCGAGAGGCGATAGTGCTGTTGAAAATCAACGTCGTTCATGTCAAACACATTGGCGTGGCTTAAGTACCTACGCCGACGGCGAAACACGAACAAGAACGCTGCCATTTTGGACGCTTCTCCTTCTTCTCGCGCCCAACTCGCCCCAACTCACCTAGGTCGGAGCCGGCAAGCTTTTCCCACCCGCGGCGGCTTTTGCCACGTCACAATGACGTTACAGCATCTCGCCGCGAGTTCCGAATATGCCACTCTCCGACCACCTCAAACCCTCCGTTCTGACGTCACGACCTAGAGAGTGACGGCGCGTGTCGTCATGCACGGCGCCGACCAATCGCGGCGGGCGGCGAGTTTGGCGGAGAACTCGCCTTGATCTCTCCGTGCCGAGCTTAGCCCCCCTGATCTTCAACGCTTCCTTCGCTGAGCCCGCGGCTGTGTCTGGCTTTTGCCCGGCACGTGCGTGGTATGCTCCATCTGATTGCTCGTGGGATGACGGTGCTATCAACTCCCCTGGCCTGTCTTTCGTCATTTCCAACGGTGCCACTATCTTCGGCCAGTTTACAAGCCAAGCGGCATCGACAGCAACGGACTCGCCCACTGATCTCTATGACAATTGCTGGATCGCGCTTCCCCGCTTGTTCGCTGCAGCGCAAGTGAAGCCACCGGACTTCACTCGCTTGGGATACGATTTGCCGTTTTGCTAGCCTTTGCTGCGGTTTTCCAGCGTGCTGTGGACACGTTTTCTACTCGTTCGTCGTCATTCGCCGAAGAAGTTCTTTGAAGACTCTGTGTATTGTTGAGACTTGCCGTTGTGAACACGTGGAAAATTTTACGAAAGTGCAGTGTCGCAGGAAAAAGGCACAACGCGTCGAAAGGAAGGGCTGGCGGCGTGTTCAAAACTTCCTTGGCACGCCGAAGTGCCGTGTCTCTGTGCCTTCGCACGCTTGGATACCGACCAAGAACCGACGCCGTGTGTATGTGTCTAGCGAGTGCAATGTGCGTGAAGCTGTTCGTGCCTCTGGATCAGCGTCTTTTCCCCTCGCGGTTTAGGAACGAGCTTAATCCAGCGTCCACTAGCGACGGAAGATGGGGGGAAGGTACGTCTTTTTTTCGTCCTTAGACGATTTACACAATACCGTGCACAACAGCTCCTCATCACTCATCAGTATCGGCCGCGCTTCAAAGATTTTCATTCTCGCCGTCTTGTACTTTTGCTTTCGAAAACCCCCCTGGCTCCACAACGTTGCCCTATTCGTGCTCCCACGGAATCTATTAGAGTAGATTTGGGACATAGCCATGGTTAATATAGTACATAAGAACACATGCAGATCTCTCCCTTTTATTGATAGCAACTCACCGGAACAGCTGGACGATCCAGAACTCCGTGGCCGATATAAATAAATGATCTAAAGGCTTCTACGCGCGACACACGTTCAGAACTTTGGCGCGGCGTCAATTCTTGACCGGTATCCAAGCGTGCGAAGGCACAAAGATGCATCACTCGGCGTGCCAAGGAAGCTTTGATCACGCCGCGACACCGGCGACACTTGTTTTCGACGAGTTGTACCTTTTGATACGGCTTCACGCACATTGCACTCGCAAAACACATCCACACGGCGTCGATTCTTGGTCGGTATCCAAGCGTGCGAAGGCACAGAGACACGGCACTTCGGCGTGCCAAGGAAGCTGTGAACACGCCGCCAGCCCTTCCTTTCGACGCGTTGTGCCTTTTTCCTGCGACACTGCACTTTCGTAAAATTTTCCACGTGTTCACAACGGCAAGTCTCAACAATTCACAGAGTCTTCAAAAAACTTCTTCGGCGAATGACGACGAACGAGTAGAAAACGTGTCCACAGCACGCTGGAAAACCGCAGCAAAGGCTAGCAAAAACGGCAAATCGTATCCCAAGCGAGTGAAGTCCGGTGGCTTCACTTGCGGGAGCGGCAAGCGCGATCCAGCAATTGTCATTGAGATCAGTGGACTCGCCTATAAACGAGGAAGCATCGACCGCGCCGGACTGTGAGCCTGGTGGCATTGCTACCAAGATGAGTACTAACTCGCCCTTTGTCTTATTCGTACAGATTCTGATCTTCAACGCTTCCTTCGCTGAGCCCGCGGCTCAGCGAACAAAGGTAACCCCCTGAGAAAGAACCGGTCTCGAGACATTGCATCAGCGACGATGCTAACGGCTAGGCCTCTCTTCCAAAAAAAAAAAACAAAAAAAAACGGACTCTTGGCTATTTAATTAGTCCCGTCACCATGAAGCAGCCAAAAAATTTCTTTACTTCTTCTGTCGTGATCTTTGCGATTACTCAGCGCTCCTGAATTATCCGACGGTTTGTGTTCTCTGCCATCATTTCCAGTAGAACGTCTTCAAAGTACTGCCTGAAGTACTGAATAGGTGAGAATTCTGAACGCTCTTCATAAAATGTGCACCCACCTTCAAAGTCTGGCAGATTATTTTCAAGTGGGGATGTGGCTTTTTTTCCACAGCGCACGTGGCGGATGAACGCTGGGCCCCGGAGCATCATCATCATCACCACTTCCAGACTGCTCTTCGTCGTATTTTTCTGTATCGTCGTTGTAAGCGTCATCCACATCGTTTTCGTCCTCCGATCCCGAAATATTATAATTTTCTGCATCACAAATTGGTAGCAGGATTTCCTCCGCTGTTTTGTATGGCAAGCCTGCAATAAAAACAAAGGTGCGCTCAAATTTTACATCAAATTTCATAGATTCCGAAAACACAAACGCGGGGAGCCGACCCCGCAATGGACCTTTTCCAAATACCGACGGCACCAGGCGGTGGCTGCACGAACTAAAAATCAAGGAAGTGACCTACCTGCGCTACCATCGATAATGGGAGCTACGTTACCAGTTGCTTCGCTCTCTGAGCAGCGTCGCGTGCCCAACGCAACGAGGTAGGCCTAGCGCGACTTTAAAGAAGGAAATCCGTAGCGTCCACCCAAACGTCGTGTTTTTCTTTCCGTCCACTTTCTTTTTTTTGTGTAACACAATTATATATATGCTGCAATTACGTGTTCTACTCGTCGATTTACAGCCTCATTCTGAATTTCCTCGATTTTTTCGTGCCGACTTCCACCGCTTGGCATCGGGCGCTCGCGCGTGCGCAGATCGCTTCTCGGAAAAGGTCCATTCAACCAAAAAATATGAATAGCGACCCAGCGACCCAGCGTCCATGCTCGTAAACGTTTCAAGAAAAGCTTTGCGAATTACAAACAAACAGCCGCGTCGCACCAAAAATAGTACCGGCAGGTTCCACAAACACTGCAAATACTAATCATACGCTATTTTAATTATTTGAGGACATTTGAAAAAAAAGTGTTTCTCACCTCTGCGGGTTTGGTAGAACGAGTTCGCGCTGATCTAGGCCATGCTGTTTTCCTCCCGGAGCATTGTATGTTCACGGCGAATCCCGGAGAAAAGATCACCGGAGAAAAGCTCGCCGGAGAAAAGCTCACCGGAGAAAAGCTCACAGGAGAAAAGCTCACCGCGAAACCGGCGGATGCGGAGAAAAGCTCACCGATATTTTTCTTCTTTTTACATAAAGGCTGTTGAATCATGCGTAACATATATCAATTTATTATCACCAAAATTCGTCAGCTTTGTAAAAAAGAAAATATAAATTTTTGAATTATTTGTTTAGCTTATTGGGTATACACGTTTGCAAGTCCGGCTTCAGGGCGCTGCCATCTTGCCTGTCTGGGGTGCGCTTGGACCAGTCATAATCCGATTACGAAGCCTTGCTAAGGCGTCGTAATCGGATTATGGCCGCTCCCGAGAGCGCACCCCACTGAGGAAGATGGCGGCGCCCTGAGACCGGACTTGCAAACGTGTATATAGCCCCCAAATTAATAACTGCGGGCGAGTGTTTTCTGTGGCTTACTCTCTGTAGAGAGTAAGCCACAGAGAGTACGCCAACGAAAGCCCAACTGTAAACTTTATGAACTTCAAAAACAGGAAAAAGTTCGAAAACTTAATAATGTCTGCCTAAAACCTAAAAACCAAAACTGTAAATGCCGAAAATCCGGAAGTGCATGCGCAACAACGCGATGCCTGAAAATCTCTTTGAAGCTTTTGTTAACCTTTGAAAACAGGATAAAACAATCAGTAGGATATCGAGGCTTCTTTCTTCGACGGACATGCACTTTTTCCAGCCGTTCGTGCTGGTGTTTCCACACGTTGCCTTTGTGTGATAGTGCCCCTCTACGGTGAGCCGCCCATGTCCTTCAGAGCTGCACACTGACACCTTTGTTCCTCGTGACCTATATGGGAACTAGTCTTCTGTAAGGTAGCGAATAGAGCGAGTTGGTAAACGTTATACATAATGAAAACGGCTCAAACGACGACGACGGTGTGAAGACAACAAACGCGACATGACGAAGCTGTTCTCGTGACTAAAGTTTTGTTAGTGAAATTAACAAAACGAAAACAGTGTAGGCGACACTGACTACATCAACAAATACCTACTTATATATATTAAACACAACAAAATATTTGGAGCTGAAACTGGTCCCCACACCGCTATTCATATTTGCCCGCAAAAAGCAAACCTCTTTATCTGACAGCGCTACCGACGGCGCACTGTCAGCTATCAATAAATTGTTGCCTATTTTTTTTACCGGAGTACGATGTTCTGATTTCATACTTGCGGCTCCATTAATATACAGAATGGGTGATTACTAATTTCTGAGGAATTAGTAAATATTACCAATGAACTTCAAGAATATTACAAAAAAGAGGATATATTTTTAATGAAGTGACGAATGCGCCACGTTTCACGCAAAATCCGCTAAGTCAAAAAAAAAAAAAATCGGTGAGCTTTTCTTCGCATTTGCTCAAAGGCCGGTGAGCTTTTCTTCGCATCTGCCGGTTTTGCAATGAGCTTTTCTCCGGTGAGCTAATCTCCGGTGAGCTAATCTCCGGTGAGCTTTTCTCCGGTGAGCTTTTCTCCGCCGCCCGTTCACGGCTGCATCAGAAATGGCGCTACATTCCTGTCCTCCGACGTGGACACTCGTATTCTACGCAGGAGCGGCCGTGTTTTGCTACAGAAATTCGGAGCCAATGTCCACGTACGTGGACTCGGGGTTTGAGGGGGCTAGACCAATTTGCTGCATTTCATACATATGAATTTGCAGAAGAAGATCGCTGCCAATTATTTTAGCCTTTTTTAGATGGGTTGGGTTTTGCGAGGAAGTCTATGGCAACAAATAATTTGCCTAAACTCGAAACCAGCAAGAGGAAAAAATCATGAGCCATTCCACTCTGTGAAGTTGGATTACCAGCGAAGCTGTTTAGCACACGACACAAACGGGACACAGAAGTTTGAACAAAGGTAAGAACATATTTATTGTCTTGATCGGTGGTCATCGTGACGAAAGGTACGCAGACACATTTATTGTTGTCTAGCTCGGTGGTCCATGCATACTTCGCGTGTACGACTATCGCCGCCCCAAGGAACCGGAGAAAACTAGACACGCGCGACGGGACCGCCACACCGGGAGAGCGGAAGGAAAGAAAACAAGGCACAGAAGTGCTTGGAACGACGAAAAAGAGAGGGCGGTGCGAGCGTAGACATGGCCGACACGGGTCGCACAGCAGCAAATCTGAGAAACCTTTATTATCTACCTGAGAGTCTACTAATCTTGAAAAGGATGCCTATTGATAACTAATCTACTGAATAGACCTATTGCTAAATTACCCAAGCATCGAGGAGAATGCAGGGAATGGTGTTCCACACGTCGCACGTGCTGGCCTCAGCAGTAGTAACTTTTCTAAAGCAAATACCTAAAACAAATGGCATCTTGCACGCGCGTTCGTCTACGCTTTATTTTGGTTTACTTCGAATCTTTTACAGGGAAAAGGCGTGCGCGTGCGGGCGGTGCGAGCGTAGAATTTTTGTTGACGCGCATGAAAAATCCACGGAACCCTAGCCATAAACAGCCTCGCTATAAAAGGCGCCGCAGCGTAAAGCTTATCGCGGCCGCCTTGCCACCCTAAAACGTTAAACAAATTCGTGACAAGGACAAAAAAAAAGCAAAAAAAAAAAAAACGGCATGGGAGAGGGAGCATTTAGTTTAGCCAACTTTCATTGCGACCAGTTTACCTTTCACAATCTTTTTAACGTGTCGATCAAACAAATAACAGCAAAAAAATATAAATTAAAATTACGAGGGGCGGTCATAAAACTAGTATTATTATTGGCGGCAAAAAAAAAAGAAGCTATTGCCAAGCTTTTTGTTGCTTAAAAACCCCCATATTCTAGCAGTCTCGACGTGTTCAAAAGCTTCCCCGCACAAATTTGCACATGCACAAATTTCCACGTGCAAAGTGATTTGCACATTCACAATGTTTTTCACACGATAAAGGCCACCCCCGCTGCATTCCACGATCCCTCACGCCATTACAAAAAGAGCGCCGAAAGGAATCTACAACATTGCGCTGCCAAGCTGACCCTGACTTCTCCGACATCCTAACCATCATGAATGATTGTTGGGCGTACCGCTACAATCATACGACGAAGCAATAAAGAAAAATGGAAGCACGCGGATTCACCGGTGTTGAAAAAAATAAAGGCGAAGACGCAGCCGTTAAAAGAAAAAAAAAAAAGATTAGCTTTCTTTTTCTTTGGGGGGGGGGGGGGGGGGGGGGGGGGGGGGGGATGGTGTACTCCCAGCAGATTATACCTGTAAAAGCCAAGCCTTCACAAGAAAATGTTACCGGAACCTTCTGACAAAGCTTACGGGAGGCCATCAAGCACTGCCAGAAGCCGCTCAAGGGCGTGTGTTCGCACTAAAGTTACTGGATCCAACGACTTTACACCAATCGGCCCATTCCGCGGAGCAGACGCTGACGCATGCGTTGCCACGTTTTCGGGTCGACGACGAGGCGATTGTCGAGGTGGAACACCCCCTTCCAAGGCCAAAACGAGATCTTTACAACCAGGTATCTTACGCTAGCTCATCCACTGTTAGTAGAAGTGCGACGCCTTCCGTGCTGCCTGCATGGAGATAAACTAATGCCTCAACCAACGCTCTTGAACCAAGCTCCTTTTCTATTTATGGCAATAATAGTTTGTGTCAAAAATATGCGCTGAGCAACCGAGAGAGAAGGAGACTAATTGATGAATATCTCGACCCCCTTTGGCATTTCGAGAACCGTTTTGGTTTTCGAACTGCCGTCAATATTTCCATTAAAATGTAACCAATAATCAAAAAGGTAAATTACTAATCTTAGTTCATTAGCCAACTTACCGCGACGGTTATTTCTTCATCTAATGGACGCCGAGCCTGATAAATACATGAAGACGGCACCCGTGTAATACCCCTGTCAGACGGCAGCTAAAATGGCATTTACGCCAAATGACATTCAGGTTTTCAAATGACATTCAGGATGGGACCTGCCAGACGACAACTAAAATGACATTTAAGTGATGTCTATTACGATTGCGATCGCAAATTCGTCTCGTGCACATAGAACACGTTTTCGTCAATAAACAATTTTAACACGGCAAAACACTTGTTTTTGTGTGTGTTGTCTGCTGGGACAAGAAAATATAACAAAAAACTGGGATAGGAAGTTGCGCTCACTAGTTTCTGACGAAAAAATAAAGCGAAGCGTGGGGCGAAATCCATTCGCCAACCTAACGTCGTCATAAGCCGATCCGTAAGCCGAGCCTCCCGCGCTCCGCCACTACAGCTGACAGCTTGCTCGCACAGTTCTTTCGTTAATTTCGGTAGTGCTTGCTTGCTCTGGCTGTCCCTCACGCTCGATCTTCGGCTGCCGTGTTCACTTCTACGTCTGCGAGGGATCTTGGATGCCGTATTGCGCTTCCGCCGTCACTATCACGGCGGTATGGATTGATCTTGGTTCGAGCGTCTCCGGCTGTTGAGAAGGCCGTCCATCATCTTCGTCGTACACGCATTCCGCGAGCTTCGGTTTGAAGACAGGCTACCGTACCTACTAACGTACTGCGTCTTCAAGCAGGCGATTGGCTGATGGCGGCGACGTGATCAGCGTCGTGACGCGACGTGAATGTGTGTCGGTGTTACATAGAGTGCTTGGTTCGCCAGGTGACTTGCGTGCACCTAACCACCCCAGTGACAAAGTGAGTCGGCGCTGCAAAGCTATACTCTCCTGCGGAGGACAGAACCATCGCCAACTTGCTCGTCGTGAGGCAAACCATTGCCAAGTGATCGCACCCCTCCGACGCGACTGGCCGAAGATCTTGAGCGCCGCCGCGACCGCTGAACGGTTAAACACACAGGGGATAACCGAACTGCCCCAGGACTCCCTCAGGTCATAGGGAATCGCTGTAGGAATGCCACCTGGGACATCAAGTTTCAGCACCAGCGGCTACCAAAGCACAATAAATATAGTAAGTACCCTTTTTTGCGAAAACCAAGAAAAAAAAGAAAAAATGTTTGAACTAGTAGAAATAATATCCCTACATGTTTTTTTAGCTCTTATAAAATGCAGGCAATCTTGTTTCAAACTCACAAAATTAAAAAGATAAAGAAAAATTCACTTGTCTTCCTTTTACTGAATGTCACTCAAAACTAACTGATATAGCTCCTGTCAGCATTCTAGAGTTATTCGTTAACTCGTTTTAATGTGAATAAAACAACTGGATTGATCATCTTCCCAATTGTGCATCTTTGATGAGGTGAAAATGACTGAATAACTGTTTCTAAATACGAGACAAGAGTGCCAGCTTCTAGCACTGTAAATACTATGTTTAGAGGCTATAGAATGTTCGCCATTCTGTGAAGTTTCCAAAAAATGTTCCAAGCTAGCTGTGTGGTGAAATTTTGACTGCTCTGCTTCCCCATTGAATCTACAATTTTGAGAATAATATGTCTAAGGTGTAAGATATTTTATGCCTAGAGGACTGATGCATCTGTTGCAATGTTTCTATCCAACTACAGTGATTCCTCTGGCTCTCCTAGACCACTGCTACCAGTTCCAGTTTCTCAATGTTAGGATGCTGAGGCAGTTTCGTGACCATCTTCCGGAGGTTGGCACTGGCTAGCACTCGGGAAGCAGTGACGCCCCAGGCACATATGGCCACAGTCAATGGGACGCCGTGTCCCCACGGATCCTGTGTAACCACGTGTTCCTGATAGCATCCAACATGCTCGAACCTTGCCCAACCCAGGACATCATCTTGCAGGGAACGGCACGTCGATCAGTCAATTCCGTACATGCGACGACCCTCCCAGACTTCTCAGCATCACTCCCAACTTCTTGTAGTGATGGATAAATTTCAGCCTACTACTGACTTGGAGAATTAGAGTGGATACAGGGGCTATGGTTTCATTTACTTCATGTGCAAGTGAAGCTGAAGCTATGAGCATGAGCATGTTGCCCTGAACGATGCTAACACTACATGACCGTGCATGCTTGGTAGCGACATTGAAAGCCTGGATCTTGCACTTAAAATGAAAAGAAATCTTGCGTCGTGAGTGTTGTGTGTGCATCTGGCATCATCGGCGAGTCGGCAGAAGTCAAGCCAAGGCGAGTCAAGCTGGTTTTACCGAACCGTTTGTCATTCTGGGGACTCGTCGTAAACCACGTGTCTCTTGTCTAACTCCTCTTTTCTGCACGGCCAAGTCGGCCGCCTGAATAAAGCTTTGGGCAACAACGAGAATGAAGAAATTCAAACTCCGAGGCACGCAACCACACTTTTTTGAGCAACGACAGCTTCGTGGCAACTTGGCAACGACGAGAGCATATGGCGAAAAAAGACGAGCCTAACGTTGTCATCAAAGGGCGGCTGAGACATCTCGAAGAGTTCGACCCAAAAAGATTGAAACATGGCCCCTGTACCAGGAGCGACTAAACGTTTTCTTCATTATACTCAACATCGTCGAGGAGTCCCCAATATGCGCAGTCCCGTGTAGCGTTTGTGGACCGACAATCTACTCCGTCGTATGCTCGTTGTGTGTGCCAGTGGACTCCCTATGCGGACATTGTGTTGGAGCTCACCGCCCACTTCACACCGTGCCTGTCAGTGATTGTTCAGTGCTTTGCGTTTCATAAGTGCAGCCAACAGCCTGGAGAAAGCATCTCGAATTTCGTCCCCGCCCCACGCCGCTTCTCCGAACACTGCAACTTTGGTGAGAGCTTGTCAGCCATGCTATGGGACCGTCTGGTGTGTGGTGTCCTGGACAAAAGGGTGCAGCGTCGTCCGCTGGGCAAACCAGTGCTGGAGCTCAAAAAGGCGTTTGAAGCTGCAGATCCTTTGCCTTTGTAGGATTTGCAGCAACGACATTGATTTCCGTCAACACCCTAAAGGGGCACTCAAGTGGATTCTGAGATCGTCTATTTATTGGCATAACTCAATCTGTGGGCTTTAAGCATTCTAAAAAACCCAAGATAGCATTCAAGGGCAGCCGATTTTCATAGTAAAAATCCAATTAAAGATAGTGGCACGCCACCTTTTCTGTGCCGTAGCGCAGAACACCAGGGGGTGCCACCGGACGGGAAGGCAGCATGGGAGGGCACGCGACAGCCAGTCACAAGTGACAGCTTCTCGGCGGACTGATTTTTCAAAGGCGCACATGTTTGAAAATTTAGTGTGCCGGGAAGCCATTATTCGTAATTGGCTGTCATGTGCCCTCCCCTGTTGCCTTCCCGTCCGATGGCACCCTCTGGCGTTCTGCGCCACAGCGCAGAAAGGAGGGCATGCCGCAATTTTTAATAGAATTTTAAATAGCGAGATTGACCGCCCTTGTATGTAATTTCGGGTTTCTTAGGATGCTTAGAGTCCATAGATTGAGTTATGACATAAAATAGACTATCTCAGAATCCACCTGAGTGCCCCTTTAAGACGATGACCGCCTTCTTTATTGAAAGTAGCTACCCACTCAGCGTTCTGTGCAGTGCGAGCAGTCGCGTCTCTAACATTTCGCGACACAACGCTCTATTTCCCCAACCAAGATCTAAACCACCATGCAACACCCTCATCATCACGTTCCATCCCTCCATACCCAGGCTCAGCAGACTAATCATCGAGACCACTTTCCACCTGGTAGACTCTACAGTTATCTCTAAAGCACCCGCCCTAACGTCCTATCGAAGCACAACTTACGATCCCTTCCAGTATGCAGCAACCACTCCGAAACCCCCTCATCTTCACGTTCCATCCCCCCATACCCAGGCTCGGCAAACTAATCATGGAGACCACTTCCCACCTCATAGACTCTACAGTTATTTCTAAAGCACCCACCCTAACTTCCTATCGACAGCCCATCTTACGATCCCTTCAGTATGCAGCAACCACTCCAAAACCCCCTCATCTTGACGTGCCATCCCTCCATACCCAGGCTCGGCAAACTAATCATGGAAACCACTTCCCACCTCGAAGACTCTACAGTTATTTCTAAAGCACCCGCCCTAACTTCCTATCGAAATGGTGGATACTTGGGCTAGTTGGTGGTTGCTATACATAATTAAACAGCGCACAAGGAGAGGGACAGAAAAGGAAGACAGAACAGGCAAGCGCTGACTCGCAACTGACGATTTACTATGAAAAGGAGAAGGAAGAAAACTACACACATGAACATATATCGGAAAAGAGAAAGATGTGAAAAAGCTAATAAATTAAATAAAATTACACCTAAAATAATTATAGCTGAAAAGGAAAACAAAATAAAATAAAATGAAAATCAATCTCTCAAAGTCCTAGGCATGTCCAGTGCCGGCACTCCGAAGCCTTGACCATACACGTATTTGTGCGCAGCTGCCCCCATAAACTCATACTCGCTGTCTTGTAGTGTTAATGATGGCTGGCTCACACATGTGGATTCGAGCTTTCTTATCCAAAAGGCTTCCACTATTTCTCTTGTTGTTTTTTCTTTATGGGAAGCTAGAACAGTTGTTGCACAAAAATCTGGATCACATCCACAGGTTCTGCAGTGGATGGCTAGGTGGCTTCCAGTGGTGGTTTGAAGAGACTGTTTATGTTCCCTCAAGCGGTCGTTGAGGCAACGCCCAGTCTGTCCGACATAGGTTTTCCCGCAGGACAGAGGAAGATGGTAAACCACTTGTAGAATGCAAGACACAAAGTGCACCTTGTGGTTTTTCATGCAGCAAGCCCTGCTGTCATTGTTCTTGTCCACAAGCGTGCAAATTCTACCCAGTTTGTTTGGGGCTGAAAACACCATGGGCACGTTGTATCTATTGGCAACATTTTTTAAGTTGTGCGACGTCTTGTGGATGTATGGTATAACTAGTGGTCGGATATTGGTAAGGTCTTTGCTCTTTTTTCTTTTGGTCGATCCTTTACAGGTTTGTATCAGAGTGCCCGCAACTTCACTTAACATGGCTGATGGAAAGC